TATGTAACTCGGTTATTAATTATAATTTTATGACTTTATATATTTGAACTTCAGTTATTTGCCCTACAAGTTGTCTATTTATGGTAACTGCGCAGTTCTGCGCTGCCCGCATTTTATTATCGCAGTTAAAGTCAATCGTAAAACCAACATAACGCCAAAATAAACTATCCGTGCACTATCAACCACTTTGTTTATCTAGATATACACTGTACTTGCTTCAATTTCTTTATTTCTAGACGGGTCACTACACGAGATATTCTTGTTGCGATTTTTTGGTTTATCGAAATAATGTATAATAATTTATAAGGTTATTACTTCAATTTGACTATTTTATAACTACATGCCAATCATTTATTTCCCTTTCATGCCATGTAAATAGTCTAGAAGTAGCAAGTGATCAGAATAAATAAAGAAATAGTACTTTTATGTTTTCAATACCTGCATAGCAAATTAAACATTGTATTTACTATCAAATGTCCAAAAACTACACAATTAACAAATATTTATTTAAAAACACCACAGTGATTTTTTAATTTTTGTGTCTCATCAAATATGTTTACTATTATAATAATCGAAGGTGAATCAATATGACATTTAAGTTTTGATTTCGTTTGTCGTACAAGGCTTTTGCGGCACGGAGGGTCGGTAGCGGCGGCAGCCTCGGGCCCGGCCGGCCAGGCCGTCTAAATATAGACGTCTAAAAATAACTCCGCACTCCGCCCCGCGGCCCCTACTTCACCCCCAAACCCACCCCTCAAACTACCCTCACCTACCCTCTACCCCCGACCTACATTTCCAGTAGGTGCCCCCTAACCAATTGTTCGTATTTTATTTACATGAAGCATATTGCTCGAACGTCTGTAATATTGCTTTTCTTGTAGAGTTTATGTAGAAAGTTCTTCATAAAATAAGCTTGAAATAAAGACCTGTATTAACTTCTTTGCGAGAATATTCCAACTAGTATACACATATACACTTCACACCCTATTCAGAGACACAGCCTTCCACTAGCTACTTCTAGGTTGGCCTCTACTAACTTGCTTTACCTACTAGAATTATCTTAAATATTCAGATGACTTTCTTTATTTGTTCAGATAGAGTGACACGCACACTCTAGTGATGTCACGCTTAATGTGCAACGGTCTACGACGTTACACTTACTCCATAGTGATAGGTCAGTGTGGGTTAACAATGCATTAGATATGTTCAAAACAATAAAAACCTTCCGAACAATAAAATCCGATTACTCAATATGACGGCACAATGTTTATTAAGGTTAATTTTCATTGGACACGGTTTTTATTTTAAAAACGCCTATCGAAAAGAAAGGTCCAACTGTCTTTATTACAGCACTCTGGTCATTTGATTCACATACATCCAGGCGCAGCAAACAAGTCTAATTATTTACGAACATGGCAGTCAAGATAACAATCGTAATGTGGTTATTGTTGCAAAAATTCGTTGATGCTGTAATAAACTTTATCTTTCAAATATTTGTACAATCACTGGAAGGTGTACAAAAATATAACAACACATTACCTGCCTTTCCCCCAATTCTAGGTGATATAGGAGGTCTCGGTCTACCACTACAATGTAACACTTTTAAATAAGTTAAAATATAGAAAATTTCATTGTAAAATTGATTAATTGCAGTTGGTTAAATTTGGTATTGAAAAGGCCCAGACCCGTTTAATGTACATATAACTCATTGTATTTGATATTCTCATCTCTTAACATGACGCTGTTGGTTGATTTAAAATATTCTCAAAAAAATAGGAGAAGTAAATGAAACGAGAGTTTTAGTTTTTTGAGTTTTGTGTGTGTTTGTTTTAGTTTTTGAGAGTGCAGTTTGAGAACTCCTGGCGCTCGTAACACCATAGTATTGCTAACACGACACGACTTGCCCGAGAGCGACATACTGCTATTCTCGCAGAGAATTTCGCGACTCTCGCGCAAGACGCGTCTTGTCGTGCTAGCCCTACTTGTTTGCTAGGTTAAGTCCATTTGTGTGATTGTGCGTCACTCATAACAATAACAATTTCGAAACCTACGCACATAGCATGTTTTTAATAAAACACCGTGATTTGAATATTTATACGTCCAAGCTACCCGCCAAGGCCGTATGTTTGACCGCTTGCGCCCGCGCCTCCGCGAGCAGGTTGCTGCGATTTGTGAGAATTAAACTCGTTTTGGCAAATTCTAGCATCCGCATCATAATTCTGTCATAAATATAAATGTTTGCGAGTTGTGTATTGAAAATTGTACCTACACCTAAGAAATCTAAGAAAAAATTACCTGACCTTAAACCCTGAGTTTAAACTATGTAAATTTGTGTAAATTGTATATAAAATATAAAGTATGCGTAAACGTGACGTTAATAAATTGACATAGCGTTGAGCGGCGGTTATATTATATAGAGTTTTACTAGTTGGCGTAATTTTATTTGTTTGTACTTGAGAACAGTGCAGTCTGTTCATCGACAACATACCTTTAACTCAATTTTCAAATTTACTTTATTAAACACCAGTTTAAACTTTATAACAACGTATTCATGATCACAATAGTGCAGTTTGTAATTTTTAGAAGATTTTGGTTTTGTAGACGTTACTAAAATTGCGTGTGGAGATATTTTATGAACCAGATCACAATTAGTCAATATGTTTGTTTTTACTGTCTATTAAATCCAATAGCAGTTGAAGTCCTTGCGAAAGAGTTCGTCTAGTTGGTGCCACTGGCATCATGTTGGTGAAACTATGGACTCCTAGAGCTTGTCAACTTTATGTCACAGGGTGACGGGCGCGGTAGCACTGCACTTTGCAATTTAAAGCCACTTGCTTGTCCGGTCCTTTGATATCTTGAAAAAAAAATCTTTTAACGGGTCTCGTAGTGGCAGTAAGACGTGGTAAGATCGGTGCTGTACAGTACACTACTGTTTATCGTCAAACTCTTAAATAAATTTGCGTATTTTTTCGTTGCGCACGATAAAATACGCAAGTTTTACACGATATATATATATATATATATATATATATATCGTGTAACTTTGACTGGTGAATAAATTACTTAATCGTTAAAATTAATGTTAAATTTACTTCTTATACAATAATTAAATTAACGTACGTGTAGTGCAATCGATCACAATTACAAAATGCAAGAATTTGGCCTAACTTGATAGCTCGATGACGTTTCATGGTACTAATCATCGATAAATTTAGAGAAAAAAGAATTTTAGCATAACAAAAATTTATATCCGCGATGAAAACGTTGATACCCCAGTATACATTTTCCGCTGACACTTAGGGGACTTTTTTGTTTAAGTTATTTGTTATCATCAGTACATTCATCAGCTGGAGATGTCATCATCAATCATGGCGTGTGTGGATTGCTAGTTACGTCACTAATGAATACTTTCTATTTGGATGGAAAAAGTTACTTACATAATTCCATTCATAATTTCATGTTCTATAATGTGATGTACAAAATAATAATAATAGTTAGTGTATATACTGTATAGTCCCACTGGTGGGAACAAGCCTCCTCCCACGATGAGAGGACTTGGGCTGTAGTTCCCAGTTCTCCACGCGGTCCAGATACGGTTTTGGAACTTCATATACGACTACATCATGTGCAAGTTTCCTCACGATTTCTTCGTTCACCTAAAACCTGGTAAATTTCGAATTCAATTTCGCACAAGTCAGAGGTGCAAGCCTGCATTCGAACCCAAAACCCTCTGCTTGCAACGCAGTAGGTTTTGACATTATTTAGTAGTGGTAGCTGGCGATGTAAACAATATATATTACGAGTGCATGTTCGACTTCTGTTGGTCGGTTTCCGTGCGCAGAGTCTCTACTAGTTAGTTCCACCCTTGCCGTTCCTCCTTCGGTTTACTACTGGAAAGTCCGGAACACTCCATCCTTATGTCATTGACTTACCACCCATTTGCACGAAGCGGTTTGCTACACCCTTAAGGTAATGGATACACTGACTACTATTCACTTAGAATGGTTGAGAAAGGCATAGGAGATGGATTGAGACGCATTTGTCTATTTTTCGTATAAAATAATAATAGTTAATATAAAACAAATTACTTTAACAAAAGAAAACAAAATGGTATATGTATAACCTTTATCTAATGTTCTTCTTCAGGATCATTTATATTTTATAATGCAGAACCAGATTGCAAATTCCGAAATTGTATGATACGGCACAAAAAAATATTAAAGTGTTTTTTCCAAACTCTACCTTGTTTTTGTTTACATTATTGTAAGTTAGTATGGAGTTACCATTAGTGTTGTAACTGGCGATTGTGCTCCGCCTTATTGCTAGACATGTCTAGTTAACGGGCGAAACACTGTCGAGCAGTCTGTTGTTCATCCGCACGGCGAATCGACCTACCTCACCCCAGCCGTGAGATGGCATAAACAAATATGTAGGTATTGAAACGTCGTCAGACAACTCCGTTACGTAACCGCTATGCGACTGAAAGGCACTGAAGGCTTCTTACGCAACCTGCGGTTGACGGCCATACGGGAATATAAATAGTTTAGAAGAGCAAATTTATGCATGCATTGTTCCTTTGTTGTGACGAAAGGCATTCATTATTTCACGTTATATAACACCCAGTTAGTATCACTGTTAAATACCTATTTATAACACAAGCGTCATCATTATAAACCCAATATACGTCCCAACTGCTGAGCACGGACAGTGAGATCTACCTCTGTCCACGTTTCCATCCACATTCGTTCTATAAATTTGTGCCGTCAATGTAACACCTAGCATTCTTCCTACGCGACCAAACCGTCGGCATCGAAGCATTCTTGTTTCTGACGTTCGTTCACCTCGTTGCCTTAATAGTACATGTTTAAATGTTGCACTTGATGTGTATGATGAATAACAAACGTTTCAGAAGGAAGTGATACAACGGCAATATCGAATTGATTTGACGTCGTTACTAATATGATGCACTTTAGTAACGTAAGTGTGTTTGTTTGTTGCAGCGGAGATGGCCCACGAGGGCGCTGAACGGTCTCCGCAACGCGCCTCCCCCCCACACCAGTCACGCGCACCCCCCAGTGACTCCAGCTTCCACCATCAAATAATGCAGGTACTACTCAATATACTATTTTTCGTACACTAATCACTAATAGCTATTGCTACAAGCTTGTAGATCATCTTTAGTTTTTTGTTTTATACTATCCCCATTACGAGCCGATGGTATCGCGTCACTAGTACTTGTGCGCTGTTTTTATATGTGAAAATAGAATGTTAGGTGACTATTATAATTACATACTCAAAAGTGAATACGAAAACTTGTTTTGTGAAACATCAATTGTCAAGTCCCATGTGCCTGTAATTTCTCCAGCACCTTTACCCTTCAAAACGAAACACAGTAATGCTCCAGTTACTGCTTGGCGGCAGAAATAGGCAAGGTGGCAGTACTTCCCTGGACGAATTCTTTTACAAAGAGCACTACTGCTACTAAATATTCATCAGGGCAACTTCTTTTCGGTTCTATCAATGAGTTGTATTCATACATTTTGTCGGTGTGTGCTGTAATAACATTATAAAGGCGTTATCGATGGTCAGTATTGTCGACAAAAACAATAGGGCTTTCAGTCTCGCTTCATTTCCGCGTCCCGGAAAAAGGTTTCGGTGCGATTGCGAAAATCCCGGTAAAAACGAAACTTTCGAGACTATTACAAAGCTAGGTTTCCATTCTTACAGGTTAGTCATTTAGAATGAAACTTGTGTTGAACATGAAATTTTTATGAACAAATTAAAAAATAAAAATTATTTAGGAAAGTTTTTTCTTTTTTATAGCAGACACTCAAGAAACAATGGACATTTAATGTGTTTTAGTGTGATTGTCCCTTATCTGAAACATTATTTGCTTTGATTAAATGCTTTGATTCTATTACTAATCGTTCTTCAATCTCCACAGATTATACTATGCTCCACTCTACAGAGTTGCCATGTGCAAGTAACTAGAATAAAAAATGCCTGTTGGTTTAGTAAATTTTTTAATATTGTTTATGAACCGACTCACTATTCTCGATATTCCTGGACTTGAAACATCATCTCGACTCTCGAAAATGGCAAATATCGTCGAGACTTGGGATATTTATGATTTCAAGGTTCCTTCCTTCTGACCTATTTTGGGTACTTTTCAAAGATTTGTAATTTGCGAAAGAAAAAAACATTTTTGAAATACTTTCTTTTCTTATTAACACAAAATAGACGTACAGTGCTTGTGTTATTTCAGATTGTTTATTTTTTTAGTGGAATGATACTAAAACTTAGCCTGTGTAAATCTGTGAACCCATCTTGTAGGTGATTAAAAATAAATTGAAATAGCCACATTTTGAGGTTTGAGAAACCAGTCCTCAATCCTCCTTAAAATTTTGTTATTGCACCCCGAACAGATTGTATATAAAAATGTAGACATAGAAACTTTTGAAAGCTGTGTAAATCTATACGACAATACTACAAAATCGTCGGTTTCGGCAGTTAGGAGGGCGATGATAATATCTGATGATAACATTTCTTAAGTAACGTCGCCTTGCCTGGTTCGAAACACGAGTAGTTGACATGTACTTGTTGTAAATTTTGCAGTACTCAAACGAAAACTACTGCTTTTCTTTCTAATAGTTTGTTGACACGGAATAACTTATTTTTACTTCTTTTCAACTTTTCTTCCTCCAAGAACCTCCAAGAACAGCGGTGGAGTTTAAATATGAATTTTATTTATCTTCAGTTTCATACACATTTTTCACCGCCACTTTTTTTGGTTTACGTTTCATATCACGGCCTGTAGACAACCCCGTTATATGCACATAATATATACATATAAAAAAGTACAATCGAGAATTCGTATTTGGAAACTGAGACCGTACATCTTAAATGCCAAATACAGCAATTAGTGATGAAAGGAACGATATACATACAACACTTGTATTGTTCTTGTCTCACAAGCAAAAGTGAGTGAGATAAGAACTTGACCATTCCTCGTGTTGCGCCGTCAAACCAAAAACATACCCAAGTAAACTTATAAGCAAAACGAACAAAAAATACCTAAAACATTGAATAAAGAAACCAATATATAACATAAATCCGTTTCCGTGACCTTTTCCCAAAATACACGTGCGCCCGCCTCCCGCCGCAAGCCTCGCGCGAACCGGCTTTTATTTATAAAAACTCTTGAAATAAACACAACATGCCAGCAATATATAGCACCAGATGTAGGTCCTTGTGTCTACGCTACGGTTTTATTAATTCTCGCGTCGATGCCGGAACATGGCTGCATTGAGAGTTGCCTCCGTCCTTTTCAGGCGTCAAATGTGGTGTCCAAAGAAGAAACGCGCGCAACCCACATGGCCGTGGTCCGTAAATGTCTCTCGTTGTTTAACTGGTCATATATAAACTGCTTCTTTTTGATCGCATCACAACAACGCTATTTGAACACGGTGCATATGACTATACAGTAGCGCAACTTGGCTTCACCAGGTTACGACGCTCTTGGCACGAAACTAATTCATACAGCTGGAAAGAATTCTGAATGGGGCTTGAGCATGTGTTAAGCCACGTGGATGTGCGTTAGACGATGAAGGGCCGTGAATTATGACGTCGTCGTGACATGATGTTTTGGTCATACGAATACGCGAAGCAAAAAAATCGTATTATTAAAATTTACGTATTATTATAAGTACAATGAGACGGTGTAGTTATATCATATTCGATGATTGTCTAAACTACGACATCTGCAATGAAACAGAGAGAAGAGGAAGTCGCAGAGCACTGTGCACATGTGCATACGGTGTCGTATCAGCGGTGCCAATTCGGTAGCTACGCGTCTTTGCGCGCGCGCGCAGTATTTTCGCGCCGCCCACTCCCGCGCGCAAAACATCCGCCGCTATTCACGTCGCATTCCTCCTCTGCCGATTTCCCCAAAATAATGCGCCAAAAATAATGCGCACGCGTTGTTCGATATTTTTCACTGTTCGTGAATGCTTTCTTATCACTCTTAACTACCCTAAATTATAATGAATGGAATCTAGAATTCTGAAAGTACTCGTAAAAATGTAACTGTAGTGCCTCTTGAAAAATAAATACATAGCGTTCAAGTTAAGTTCTGCCTAGAAAATATTAGTCAGAAATACTAAAACAAACCCCCGTTTATTTATTATAGTACTGAAAAAATGTAATAGCTGTGAACAATTTGCCGATTCAAACTGAGTTGGCAAATTAACAGTAACTATTTTTACTTGCTACTACATCTAGTAATGAAGTAATTATGTTTTTCTGATGTATGCGCTTGGGCTCGTAAATGAACACCAGTTGAAATCGCCAGTTTACACGTCAATAGTTAAGCACTACTACAAACGTATAAAGTCAAAACATTACATGCTACGTGAGTGTACGATCTTGCGTCTAACAATTGATAATAAAGCTACTAACAAATTTTAATTTTTCTATTTGAACTTTGTCGATTATAGTTGCCCTGATACAGAATAGGCACACCCTCATTCCCCTGTACTTTCTTTCTTTTTGAGAAGATTACAAAACAATGTGCTGCTTGAAAACCGTGTACGTAGCCCTAAGTGACTTTTCTCTACGAACTTACAAATGCAATCAATTTTTTCACGCCTTAATGATTAATAAATATTTCCAACAGCACATCTGTTTTTGTAGTCGTAATTAGAGGAAAGGAAGTAGTATTCCTACATGTATATTGTCTGGTTGTCAGAGTCAGAGCCCACGAAAGAACCATATCGCTGAGAGGGCCAAACAGTCGTTAGAAAATAACTTCCTGTTACAAGTGAGTCCTATATGTTTTTGTGTAACGAGTGACGTATTCAACAATAGCTTTCACTACTTTGTTATTATCCATTTCGTCAATAATAGCATGTTGTAGAATAATTATTTGCAGATTAGAACTAAAAATCATGCATTAGAATTGCTATTATCTAATTTTGTTTTTCTGCTGCAGCCAGAGGCATTATTCTCCAAATACGTACCATTAATCAAAGTTGCTGTTGTAATAGAAGTACTCTGTTTTCGATTTGTTGATAGAGGATTGTTTTCATTTGTCCGTTGACAAAGTATTAGTAGTACTGTTTCAAAGCTTATTTTGGAACAATATTGTTGAATACGTCACAGTTTTTGGCTAATTGTGAGAATTTGTGTGGTATGTGGGAATTACATCACGATGTGCACTAAGAATACACTGCTGTACATAAATTTGTGTTAAAATAACTCTACTCATGGCTGTACTCATACGCATTACACTTTTACACGGTGATACGAATCGCACATAGTTCGTTGCATGAACCGCTGTTAAATAAAATTAAAATAACCTCACATTATGTAGGTACGTCATTTAGAAGTTTACTTATCTAGTGAGGTTCTAATTCTTTTATTGTCACTCTTTACAATATAATGTAATTAGTTTAAATTGCTTAATTGACCTAACAGTTCATGCTACGAGCTTCATTCACTTAATTTTAATGTATAAATGTTTTCAGAACTGGTTAGAAAAGGTGAACAACGACATTACTAATGAATTATTTATTAGTAATTTACGTTGTTTTTTTTACATTTACACCCATTTTTGGTTCTCATTCTTGAAATTGTAAATTTTTGGGCTTGATGTTCACCTTTTCTCATTGATGTATTTGTTTACACTGGCATTAGTGAAGATCCACTTTTCCTACGAAAAATTATCTTCACTTTATTTGTGAAGAACTTAAAGTGTCAACTTGTCAAGTCCCTTGTCTTTTCGCATTCTCTTTGATTTCCACTTGTTTTTGGTCTCCAAATTACTTACAACTGAGTTTCATTAGACCACTGAGATAAACGATGACCCTGAGACGTGTTTTTGTTTGTGTTTCGACTCATTACGACGTGGTGAACTCAAGTTTGACACTCAAGTTCTCGTCTAAAAAGAGAAAACTTTTCAACTTATTTCTTGGTGACGTCCTTGCTGTCCCGTTGCGCGAACAGAGCGCGGGTGGGGCTGGCGGGGCGGGCGGGGCGGTCTCGCTCAACCGATGTGGTGTGTTGCAGCTGAAGAAGCAGCACCAGCTGCAGCAGGAGATTCTGCTGCAGCACTTCCAGCAGCAACGCCAGCAGTTAGCGCAGCAACACGAGGAGCAGCTCAGGCACCACGTAAAGGTTAGTCTGCGTAGTTGTCACCTATTGATTCAATTTAGGTAGGATAGGACTAGAGATAGCACCCGAAATACATAAGCAGGCATAATATTTCGGAATGACATCAGCATGTGCGACTTTCGGTATTTGATTTTGATTCCTTACTGTAATATACTAAATACAAAAATGTTGCCGATGGAGAATCGATGTGCGTGCCACATTACGGTAGTTTTAATAATTAAATTATATGTGTTAAAGTAAATGTGTATTTGCCCAGTTGTTCCACGAATATGCTAAATTGAACAAAACAGTACCAATCTCCAGTTGTTGATAAAATGTGGTGATATGTTACTTAAACAACAGATGTCGCTCAACGCATTAAGTCGTTGGAACACATACCCGTGGAAAATTTTTAAACACATCAAGTCTTCATCACCAATCGGTGGTAAAAGTAACCATGACGGATGTTTACTTTACTCTGTTAAGCGTTGTTTTCATCATTTAAAAAATACAAACTGTGCACAACATTCGTAGTGGGAATTAAACTATTTTTCTCGCGATAACCTGAGAACGTTTTGGCATTGCCTTTAACTTGTTTAACCATAAAAACTTAAATCATTTCGACTGCCGCAAGCGACAGTATCGAAACTGCAAAATCAAATTTTTTTTTATTGCATCACTTGTAAGAGAATATGATATACTATTAGAAAAATGTACAGTTTGGTAAAAAAAATCATATTAAGGGAAGTTTTAAATTGAATACAATCGGTATTTCACACTATGAGCGACAAATCGATGAAGGTTCGATACTGTTCTAAAGCGACGGTGTGCGCGCACAGTTCGTAACTGACTGGATCGTTAGTATTCGCCGCGATGCGATGTGAGAGAGTGAGGGCGTGTCTCTTTCGTTTACTTTTAACTTGTTCTAGTTACTTATTTTCTTTTGCTCTTTGTTCTTTTTAATCGGAGTTTAAAAATGAATAGCCGAGGTAGATGTGTGGTTAATTTCGTTAGAAAATATAAACAACAACGTCATGGTGAAACCTCGTCTAACGAAAAAAATTATAATTAACTTGGTAAGTATTTACAATTTTATTATGTCCCTTCATAATATCAAAAATAAATTACCTAATATATCACTTATGTAACTAAAATTCCTAAATGTTTTTAAAATAATTAGTTCTTTGTGTCATTTTTCTCATCCAAGTGATCAGATGACTGGTCAAACAAGAAAAACTATCCAAAAGGGGAGATTCGATAGTGTTCTAGTTGTATGTAATTTTGACAAAGTTTACCATCTCAGTCAGCCGTGAACATGGGACCTGTAAAGAGCCTGAAACCTTTGTTTGTTTGAAAAAATAAATATACACGATTTATTCTGATTTCATAATTATAGTAGTAACATACTATAAAATGTTTTTTTTTTAGAATCTCCTGTGCGTGACAACAATTATACTGAAGAAGAATTCATTTCTAAATGATATTTACTATGATGTCTTTTCCGCTTGGTCTACAGAGGGTGACAAGATGTGATGGTCTGATAAATGATTTCCACAGCGTTTAGTATCCTAATAGTTTGATCTACCACCTCTCAAGCAGAGGCAGTGGGTTCGAATCCGGACTCGCATCTCTGAGTTTTTCAGAATTTAAGTGCGAAATTTCATTCGAAATTTACCATGAGCAATTGAGCATTCCGGTTTAAGGAAAAACATCGTAATAAGGTTCACAGAACTCGGAAAACGTATGAAGTCCCCAACTGCATTGGTCTATAGTCTGAACCTTTGCCTGAGAGGAAATATGACTATGGTCTAAATCTTTGCCTGAGAGGAAACCTATGCCCAGCAATGGGTTGTATAAAAAGGTTGATGATGATGATGAAGCCCTACTGAAGAGCAGGTGTTGACTTATGACAAGCACATTTCAAACAAGGAAACTGCACGAAAATCTAAGGCACAAGTTATGTAAGATTTACGTGACGGCAATTAAAACTGCATCAAAAATAGTATACGCAACATACGATTATCAAAAATTTCTCAACAGCCTTTCCGGTGAAGTGTCTCTCTTTTATTTTGAAAGCACGTTGTCACTGATACAATTTACTATTTGCGATATTGGGGTTAGAAGACCACACAATATTGGCAAACTTAGAGCAAGCGTCAAACTACCAACAGGTAGCTGATTATTAGATTTTGTTCAATAAAATATAACTACTTAATGATGCAGTAGACATTGAATTTTGGTTCGACAACTGCACTGGACAAAAACGCAATAGTGATATACAGCCTTTACATGTACGCCAATAATAAATATAATATAGACATGACACAAAGATTTCGTGTTCATACACGGGTTTTTGGGATATTTATATAGTTTTCCTAATGTAAAAGATTTTTGACAAATTAATATTATGTAATAAATATCTTATTAGGAAATTAAACTATTTTTTTCTAAGGGTAAGGGTTCTGGTCAAATTATGACTAAGAGTGACAGGCGCAGTAGCCCCCTTTACAGGTCCGGAACCTGACGTCTGTCGTGACTATGGGACCTGAAAAGGGCCCGAAACGTTAGTTTGTTGTGAGCATTATTGCATTCCGGTTGTGAAGGGTAAGGGTTCTGGTCAAATTATGACTAAGAGTGACAGGCGCAGTAGCCCTCAGATCTTTGCGATTTAAAGCTCTGAGTGGCACTGCAACTGTTATGGATAGGCGCTCATCATTCATTATCATCAGGCATACAACTAGTTCGTGCCATCGCTTGATATTACATACAAAAAAATAAGAAGACTGAAACTTGTCATAGTACTTGTTTTTTCGATTTTATTTTAAAAAATTGATTTCTTTCATAATTATTAAATGTGCGTTTGTAAATTATAAAATCAGTGTTTGGTTTTCGTATCCTCTTCTATATCAGACCGTAAATTACTTGGTATAAATAATTTTTATCGATTCTATAAAAGCTGTCAATGAAAGTACCGAAACTGGTAGATTCAATAATTGTTCAAATTTTACAAGCCCTGAATACTAACGAATCTACACTTTCTAAGAAGGTAAACTATTGAATGTGAAATATCTAGAAAAATACATAAAATTTTTAAATCATGCTAAGGCCTAAGAACAACACATATAATTAGTTATCATAATTGGGTGTCACTTTCACGACACTATTAAAACTTATTATTCTAAGTCAAAATATAACTTCACACTGGTCTACTGTAAAGTATGCATTTTGTAGTTTCGATACTGTACGTTGCAGCAGTCGATTTGTAAATTATCATATATGATATGATATCATATACTCGTATATGAATAATATATACTATGAAAAATTTAAAGGTGGATTCTATTTTGCTTTTAACCGACTTCAAAAAAGGAGGAGGTTCTCAATTTCACTGTATTTTTTGTATGTATGTGACACGATAACTGATTTGTGAACAGATTTTAATTATTCTTTTTTTTTTTGGAAAGAGCGTACCTCAGTATTGGTCCCATTTATATTTCAAGGAAATATTCACCTCTGAGGGTGGCAAACTAGGTGATGAACCCGGTTTCGCACACTTTCCGGTAATCGGTTTCAATAAAACTTGGCAAATAGAAGTCATTCCACGAACTTTTGAGGTCGGTTTTTTGAAATTATCGTAGTTTAAACTGCTATGCAAATTATGCAGACATAAATATACTCTCAACTTATCTATAAACAACACACTGGCCTTATAAACAAAACAACTTCTATATTATATACATTAATTGCAAAATTGAGAAGAATACGCGTCGTAAGCTTATTAGAAAGTACTATAATGCAAATGTGTTTTTTTTATTAGATTTAGGTAAATCATCCGTAAGTGGCAGACAACAACAACAAAAACTTCGAAGACTTTATGAAAAATTTTTGAATATTATGTATTGTCTACGAGGCTGTAATATTGTTATTGTGGAGCAGCGGCTTGGAAAATGGACGTCTGTGGCGAACAGCTTGTCCCTTTTAATAGATAATAACAACGTCGTTGATGTATTTCTAAGCAGCTTATTGTATTAACGTGCTTATTTATGTGTGTATTTGTATAGGGAAGCAAAACAAACCGGCATTGTTATTGAATCAATTAAACGAACGCAATGTGTTTGAGGTTAGACTAAGTTATATAATAATTTTAAATTCGTTTCCTGTTCGTGTAATGAACGTTGTTTTTATAATCATCTATTTGAGGAATATTACAAAAAATGTAATATTGTACCAAACAAGATTACTTAATTCATAGAATAGGTACAGTAAGTATAATAAAAATTCGCATTTCAACAAAAAAATATACATTAAGAAATTGGGAACAAAATCGTTTACTAGTTCCACTACTGGTTTATTTTAGTGCTGACCTGCATTGTGGTACGTAGAAGTGAGAAATGGAGAGTAGGCCATCGATTAGACTGAGAGAATATTTAAAATATCACAACTAGACCTTGTTTGTATAAAAACACACCTATGCTATATATACATAAATATTAAATTCATGCCCACTAAGGGCGCGTTCCCATTACATCGTAACGTTTTATTTATCGTTAGACGACTGTCGCGCCCCTGTTCCTCTGTCGTGACTGTGTCGTGGACTTTTTTGTCGTTGAACGACAGTCATGCCTAGCTGTTCCCGCTGGATCGTGACGACAATTTATCGTTTCACGGCAGCCGCCTTGTCGTTTGCAGATACGAGACAACGATAAATAAAACGCGACGACAACACTATAGCTGCGATTATCTGTCGTCATATTTTTATCGCGACGTTTTATTTATGTCGTTCTAGCTCTTCCCATTGTCTTGATAGTCTGTCGTCGTAACGCCAAAACAATCGTGAGCGACAGCTAATCGTGTTGTACAATATGTGAACAACTTCATTTAAATATGATAAAAGCCACGACACTTCAAACTGGAGGACTATCTGTCGTCACGACATAATGGGAACGCACCCTCAGGGTTAGGAACCGGTTTCAAAAAATTAGCTAATTTTGATAATTCAAAACAGCGTTTTTGATTTATTATACCACTTATTTAGTTAAAACGCAATAAATTATGAATTTAAATATTTTTATAGGTTTAGGCGAGTAAAATAAAACCAATAATACGGTACAAATTACGCATTACAATTCAAGCTTTATCATATTATCATATTCATCGAGTCGGTGTTTGCGTCACGTCACATTGTCTTATCGTCACGGTATTTTCAGTAACTCGTTAAAGTTTTCATAGGTTTGTCATAAAATGTAGATTCTTGGATTTACTGAGATTGGCTTGTTCTAATTGAATAATAAAGTTGTTGTTGTTGTTTTGTTATTAATAATTTACTAGGTACATATAAAGATGCAAGGGGCTAACATGCATTAAAGGCTTAAATACTTAGGAGGCCCAAAATGCTGCCAACCTTTGTGTCCCGCAGACGGTCCATTAACATTTTAGGTATGATTTTATAGACAGGGCCTTGCCGACAGCCCACGGCACTGAAGTAACTGTCGAAGGTAGTTGTATATCTTTGGCATATACAGATTTATCTCGTTCAGCAAAGCGCGTCTATTAACAGAGTTAGGCTCAATGTATATTGCGTCGGAACGGAAGGGAAGCAAATTTTTGTAACGATATTGTACATAGTTTAATGAACTTTATGTAAATGACAATTGTGTAACGTACAAAATCTTCCGCGGAATTCTCATAAAATTCATAATGCTATCTATAATGTCGTTACAAAAATTCGCTTCCATACCGTTCCGCCGTAACATAAATTGAGCCTAAAGAGCATTTTTGACTTCGATCTTAAACCGCGCCTCATTCCTTGGTTAGTAACATTACTTTCCAAGTGAAATACTCCTACACAAATGTGAATCGCCCTCAGGAACGACTTGAAGCGCCGTTACTTGTATAAAAAACATACAAATAAGTGAGATAGACGTTCCGGCCGCGGCTTTAACTCGGGTATCTATGCGGTTTTTGAGTTGACATGACATTTAGGGTGACTCTGCTGGAATTCCAGATATGGGAACAGCAGAAGGCGCTGGAGGAGGCCGCGGCGCGCGAGGCCCGCGAGGCGCGGGAGGCGCGCGAGCGGCACGAGCGCGACCGCGCCGACCTCTTGCGGAAGAAGGACAAGCACGAACCCAGCGCCAACGCTTCCACGCAAGTCAAGCAGAAGTTGCAGGTGCAGTTGCATTGCTATGCTACCAGCTTACACGCACATCGTGCGTGAACACGCTCCTTATGGCGGAGAAGCGAGATACATTGTTTTGCTGGATTAAATGGTTTACGTATTTACTATTAAATAACGATCTTCCAAGAAATATACGATACACCCAAGGATATTGTCTAAAGAACGTGCTGATACGTTCCACGATAAGATGTACTTTACACGGTCATATAAAACCCCAAAAACAGGCTGAAATAAAAATGTAACGAATTATTAATAAAAAAATTAGAATAAAATGTCTAACTTTGTACATAATTTTTATACGGAGATATTTCTCGTTGAGTACTACAGAGACTAAATTTTGGTTTTCGACTGAAATCCTATGGTTATTAAATTCACATCTAATCCAAAACTTGAAAATTGCCCAGTGGTTTAACGACACGCCGCGCAGCCTGTTGCCACGTCAGTCGCCAACGAGCTTTCTCTTTTTCTTCACCTGTTCTTATTTTATTCATACTCATTCTAAGTGCGGCACGCAAGGGGTGGCTCCCCACCTCACCACCTAAAATCTAGGCTCGTGTTCAAATAAAATGCTTCGCCTTAAAATGTTTCGGCTACAGCGTTGTGCTCACGACTCGCGCGGCCGGAAGGCTCGTTGACTGTCAACTTGTCAACTCGAGTAGTGTAATGATCTTATGATATTCATTTGTTTAGTCGTGCGTGCGCTTTGCGCACCGAATAGACTACAGGTACAGCACGACTGAATCATAATTTATTATGTAGTTGTCACATTTCAGACACATCGCCTCCGTAGCCGAACGGTAACCATGCTGGACTGCCACGCCGAGGTCCCGGGTTCAATTCCCGGGTCGGGAGAAATATTTGTATAGCCTACATTTATTTCTCTCGCAAGGGTGTAATTTGTGGTTGTCTATGTATGTGTCCAGGGCGCCCGTGATACAGGGTTTACAATAAATAAATTAAAAAAATATTGGAGGCTTGCAAGACTATCTTTACAAAATGTTAAAGATTCCTAACAACTAATAACCTATGCCAAATACTGATATTTATACAATCGAAGATCATTATTTCAGTAGTTTAACCGCATTTTCTGTTCGCAGGAGTTCCTCAAAAAGAAACAAGCTGCCGCCAATGCCAACGGAACGGTACCTGGATCGTCCTACAGAAATTGGTAAGGCTACATTTCCAATTGTGGCCACTATGATGTATTGTCCAATTTTTGGAGAGACTTCTAAAACACGAGTTGGCTGAACACTTTGCAATGCAGATGCAAACGCATGACTATTCATTAACCCGCAACGCCATCCCCAGGGGCATAGTAAAATCATCATCGGGCGAGTCAATAACGTCGACGGGCGCGACGGCGCACCCGTACCGGCTGCCCGCGCCACTGCCGCTGGCGCTCAACGCCGCCGTCTCGCCCAGTGATTACCCGCTGCGGAAGACTGGTCAGTCTATTCAAATTATGAATGCAGTCGTTTTGGATTTCGCATGTGGACATGTAATTTTCTGTAAAGGCGTAGCTGTTGTCAATCACACATGTTATACGTTTTATAACTATTCATTTGTGGGTAGACTATTTATATTATAGTATAAAAATATGTAATATACGAAAATTACATGTCGACCTTATTTTGATGGATATTATGCATGAATTGAGGAAACTAAATAAAATAATGTAGATGTCTGTCTGATGAGAAGCCTGTCTTTTTTGAAGATGGAGTCAAAACTAAAATGACATTTCATTACGCAAAAGTGTTGCCCGCTCACTAGCAGCTAGTGATTGCAGTCGATGAATGTTCTATCGACTATCGACTGGCTGTTGGTAACGCTTACGCAATAAATAGACAAAGTTGCTTCATTTGAATCATCATTGGCCCATTATTCGTCCAACTGCTGGGCACAGGTTCATTTAAATAGCCAATGTTTGTAAATTCATACATACATAGACTGTGTTAGAACTATGCCTATTGAAAATACGAAGAGGAGACATATTTTAAACTTTTTCATTTTCGTCGTTATTAAAATGTACATGAATGAACATTGATTTCGATACTAGTAGGCCACCTGTCAAAATAAGACTGTCCACCCCTCCTGTGGAACTAGGGTGGGAGCTTATGTATGTAAAATAAAAATAAAAAAGGCAAAACGCAATTAGTAACCATTACAGCAACGTCGTACCATTTACAACTTAGACAGTTTTTGGCAAAATTTTGCCTTCTTTCACAATCTACCGATTAAACTGTCGACAACAACTACGCGACTGTTTACAATTTTATGAAACCCTACAAGTGTCATTTTAGTTCGTCTTAAAAAAAGACAGACTATATGTATGTGGATTGTAATTATATAAGTAGTTGATTTGCGCTAACGCAATTAATTAGCCGAGACTCAATCGTGCCAAATTAACAAAGACAGTCGACTATGCAACTATGTCGCCGAATGACACAAAATTGACAGAGCAAGCCGGACACTTATCATTTCTTACGCGCCGTTAATTGTTCATGTGAAGTTTTTAAGTATTAGTTTTCATTGTTACGCAATTTCGCGGAAGTAATGATAGTGACCGCGCCGCTAATGTCGCGTGAGTTGAAAATTAACCCGCATGGCGTGCGACTAACAGCGTCGGAGCCGAACATGCTGAAGGTGCGCCTGAAGGCGCGCGTCATCGAGCGCCGCGCCTCGCCCCTCGCGCGCCGCCCCCTCAAGACGCGCATCAAGCAGAGAAGTGAGTTCCACTTTAGCTTCGACCGTCCCAGTCGGCGCTTTCCCCTTTCTCGCAGCCAAGGTAACACGGCCAAGGTCGGCAACGACGAGTTGGAAAGTTGGAGTATGTAAAACGGTATTTAAACGTTTCGTGTGACTAAAACGGAAGCAACACTAAAAGCATCCTTTGTTAGTTTTGTTCCGTAGAAAAGTTTGTTAACACTGTTGCGCGCAGACGCCCGCGCTAACGTTACGAACTGTCAGAATTGGCCGTCGAGCGACAGTTGGCAACCTTAGCGCGCAGACCTTGTGACCCGTCGGCACGCGTGCGCAGATTGCGAGGGAGGGTCCCCGCGCGGCTCCCCGCCCGGCGGCGCCACGGCGCCCATCCGCGAAGAGGAGGAGTGCCCGCGCGCGCCCGAGCTGCTGTTCTCGTCGCCCTCCATGCCCAACATCTCGCTGGGCCGGCCGCACGCGCCGCACGCCGCCCACGCCGCCCTCGCCGGCCACCCCAGCCACCCCGCCCACCCCGCGCTGGCGCACCAGCCGCTGCCCGCGCACGCGCCGCACCCCGCGCACCAGCCGCCGCGACACGCGCCCCCGCAGACGGTACCTCCCTTGCCCTCGTACTTTTCGGCGGTCCTCGCGTGAGAGCTCGTCCGAGTGACGCGACAGATAAAGTGCTTTAGCCGCTCACGCGATGCGCTCCTCCTACCGCAAAATGGCGGCTATTTGGTTTCGCAAATTAGAAAAGCATTCAGTTTAAATACAAGTTTTTATAAATAAAAATTATTCTACATTGCTAAATAAATACCCTCCGTACTACTAACAAAAACATCTCAAATAAAATGCAGTAATACACCTCAAATCCTGCACTTAAAAAGCACTAATGAAATTTTTGGTGTACTTGGATAAATATGATAACATTCCATTTGAGTGGTTCTAACGTTTACCATGAAATTACTCCTTAAAGTATAGTTTATAAACATTTATATTCAGGGTAAACTTAAAAAACGCTACTTACGGTATGTTTTCAATAAATAAACACCGAAATCGCCAGCCCAAACAATAACACTCACGATTGTCGTGTCGTTTTTTTTTTTTTTTAAATGACAGCCAAGGCATTAAAAACTTTATGGTTTGCTAGAGTAGTTACCGAAATAGCAATTAATATTAGTTCTTTTACCTATTATAACTTCGATATCCGTTAAATTGGTATAAAATCATCACCGGCATCTCTAGGTGTGGTATGCGTCTACGGTCGCATGTATCGCGTGAGCGGATAGGGTAAAGGTTTGGGTGATTAACTAAAAGTAAACAAAGTACAGCTGTTACTTGCGAACGAAACACATGGCGTCGGGATAACCGACCAAATACAGTATTTTGTAACGACTGGATTTTTAGGTTGTTTATTGTAGAAAAATTATGATACGCGTTATTAAACATCTTCAATAAATCTATGCTGCTTAGATTTAACTATTAAATAATGTTTTAAAGGTAGTTCGAAATGTTGTTCTTTACCTGAAAATATTATTATGAACTAAGAACCATTTTCCAAAAGTTCATTATAATTTTACAACATTGAAATTACGTATATGTGAAATTGCGAAAACGATGAAACAAAAAATGTAGGGTTTTTGTACTTTTTCTTTTATATTTTGCATTATAATATATACATCATTTAGTTATTATATACGTATTTCTAATTACTCTTATGTTTGTCTCTGTCTCATTGAACTGCATTCTCACCTTTTTCCAATAATTTATATATTATTTCTTTTCATCTTGTTTGTCGCGCTTAATTTTTACGTTGACAAAATCACTGTACAGAATTGTGAAAATGTTTTAAAATCAGTTATGATCTTGTAGTTATGTTTGGCACTGTGTTAATTTTTTGCAATCATCACAGTGCCCGCCATGTTGCTATTGTGATAAAATTTTAAAACGGTTTATCATTCGAATTTGAGAGCGAAATGTGGATATAATAGCTTTATCGAGGCGGTATACTACGAATTTCATAAAATACCTCTGTACGATTTGTTTACATTTGGCTAACCGCGTACACCTTTAGTATTAAGAACTTTATTTTCAAACATTTCCAACGAGCACCTAAGGAATTCATTACCACTTTTAACCCGTCAATTAAAAGTATTTTCTTTGTCACTTTTTAAATCCCATTCATAATCGGTCATTAGAAAATCGATTATCAAGGCGATACAAAAAAATTATTGGTCCTTTTAAGATACGATTAATCGATTGCCGGATCGACATCGGCGTTCGTTTCCAGGTGAGCGCGTCCCTCCCTCCGGTGTCGGAGGCGGAGGCGTACGTGCCGACGGCGGGCGGCGCGATTCCGCCGCGGCTGGGCAAGCGGCCGCTGGGGCGCACGCACTCGGCACCCCTGCCGCTCGGCGACCCCGCGCTGCAGCCGCTGGCGCTGCCGCTGCAACCCCCCACCGCCCACCACTACTTGCGGGATCAGATAAGAAAGACGGTGAGGTCTTCTCGCGTGCGGCACGCGACCGATCGTCGCGTCGCGCGTCGCACGCCACCGAAGAGATGTCGGTCGGCCGCAGGTGCTGACGCGCGCGCACGACGCGGCGGCGGCGCAGCTGCGCGAGGAGGAGGGCGAGGTCATCGACCTGACGGCGCGGCGGGCCGAGCCCGCGCCGGCGGCG